CTGGAACATGGATACATACGTTGACTTTCGTGCATATAGATTGAATAAGGGAGCTCAACATATACTATGACAATTGTATTGATTGTATTGATTAGATATTGGAGTCTTTCCCAAATAAGAGTGCTCGACTTCATTGTTGTTGTTCTTAATCTTCTTGTTGCTATTATTGTTATACTTGTTGTTGTTGTTGGTTTGGAAGTGGCGAATCCTCTGTTGCGCATTTACTTTTATCCTTGCGAAGAAACCAACTTGGAAGCCTATTGCCGGCAAGGAAAGTTGTGCTATTGAATATTCGAATGGATAATTAATATATATATATATTAATTAATATGCAAATTTGTGTTGCGATGCGGATCTATTCAACTTTGGTTTTTATGGAGCAGCGTTGGTACATGTTGGCATTCTGGAGAAAGGTTGGATTGCAATTCCCATGAGGCTAAACCTGGATGGAAAATGGGATATGTAGTCCATAGGGGTCCATTCGAACCCTGTCCAAAGTTACAATGGATAAGCCTTGCTTTAATGTATGGAATTATAGCAATAGTAGGGAATTTATGCAATTAGGATGATATGCTTATTCTTCCAGTTCGGACTAAACTCCGTAACGGATTCTTAGCAAAAGTTGATGGAAACTTGTAGAGTCGAATTACTGGTTTGGATGCGCCTTTGACTCCAACTCCCATCATCCCCTGACTAAGAATAATGTATTATTTCCAGTAGGGAATGTATGCAATCAAAAAGACATGCTTATTCTTCCAGTTCGGACTAAACTCCGTAACGGATTCTCAGCAAAAGTTGATGGAAACTTTTAGAGTCGAATTACTGGTTTGGATGCGCCTTTGACTCCAACTCCCATCATCCCCTGACTAAGAATAATGTATTATTTCCAGTAGGGAATGTATGCAATCAAAAAGACATGCTTATTCTTCCAGTTCGGACTAAACTCCGTAACGGATTCTTAGCAAAAGTTGATGGAAACTTGTAGAGTCGAATTACTGGTTTGGATGCGCCTTTGACTCCAACTCCCATCATCCCCTGACTAAGAATAATGTATTATTTCCAGTAGGGAATGTATGCAATCAAAAAGACATGCTTATTCTTCCAGTTCGGACTAAACTCCGTAACGGATTCTTAGCAAAAGTTGATGGAAACTTGTAGAGTCGAATTACTGGTTTGGATGCGCCTTTGACTCCAACTCCCATCATCCCCTGACTAAGAATAATGTATTATTTCCAGTAGGGAATGTATGCAATCAAAAAGACATGCTTATTCTTCCAGTTCGGACTAAACTCCGTAACGGATTCTTAGCAAAAGTTGATGGAAACTTGTAGAGTCGAATTACTGGTTTGGATGCGCCTTTGACTCCAACTCCCATCATCCCCTGACTAAGAATAATGTATTATTTCCAGTAGGGAATGTATGCAATCAAAAAGACATGCTTATTCTTCCAGTTCGGACTAAACTCCGTAACGGATTCTTAGCAAAAGTTGATGGAAACTTGTAGAGTCGAATTACTGGTTTGGATGCGCCTTTGACTCCAACTCCCATCATCCCCTGACTAAGAATAATGTATTATTTCCAGTAGGGAATGTATGCAATCAAAAAGACATGCTTATTCTTCCAGTTCGGACTAAACTCCGTAACGGATTCTTAGCAAAAGTTGATGGAAACTTGTAGAGTCGAATTACTGGTTTGGATGCGCCTTTGACTCCAACTCCCATCATCCCCTGACTAAGAATAATGTATTATTTCCAGTAGGGAATGTATGCAATCAAAAAGACATGCTTATTCTTCCAGTTCGGACTAAACTCCGTAACGGATTCTTAGCAAAAGTTGATGGAAACTTGTAGAGTCGAATTACTGGTTTGGATGCGCCTTTGACTCCAACTCCCATCATCCCCTGACTAAGAATAATGTATTATTTCCAGTAGGGAATGTATGCAATCAAAAAGACATGCTTCTTCTTCCAGTTCGGACTAAACTCCATAACGGATTCTCAGCAAAAGCTGATGGAAACTTTTAGAGTCGAATTACTGGTTTGGATGCGCCTTTGACTCCAACTCCCATCATCCCCAGACTAAGAATAATGTATTGTTTCCAGTAATGTTTCCAATGCTATCCGGGTTGTTTGAGAGTTGGCTTGTATACGTTATGCAAATGACTTGTATACCTTATGCAAATACATGGTGCGCATAAATTTTGCATAATTTATTCCAGATTTCCATCAAGGAGGCCTTTCTCCCCTTCCCCTCGTCACAATCTTCCCGCTTTATCTTCCCAAATAAGGCTTCGCAATTGTGTTGTTTTCGTTGGCCTGACTTAATATGGCAGAATTTGGTTGGTTTTTCTCATTCCGACACATTGTTCGCATCCCATAAATGGAAATAACTTCAAGATGGAAATGGGCTCTGATGGGAATTCTAGGCCTCTTGGTGGCAAACCATACCTTCTGTAAGGTTTTCCTAGGCAAGGGAAGGCCTCGTGGTTTGGCTCTTGCCTTCCTCAGAAATAAAACCCATTGGCGGACTCCCATCCAAAGCCCGACCAAGGACGGCCCTGCTTAGCTTCCAGGAATGAGCGCCTTTGGGGTCCATTAATCTCCCTGGCATATGTATATGTGTATACGCATACACACACATACACATTTCTTCTCCTTCTTCTCCTTCTCCTTCTATAAGGTCTTTTCTTCTTTTTCTTCTCCTTCTTCTAAAAGGCCTCTTCTCCCCCTTCTCTTTCTTCTCCTTCTATAAGGACTTTTCTTCTCCTTCGCCTCCTCTTCTTCTTCCCTTCTTCTATAAGACCTTTTCTCCTTCTCCTTCTTCTTCTCAGTCTTCCGAAAGGCTTCTTCTCCTCATTCCCCTTCTATAAGGACTTTTCTTCTTCCCCTCCTTCTCTATCTCTTCTTCTCCTCTTCTTCTTCTATAAGGCCTTTTCTCCTCCTCCTCTTCTGTAAGGTCTTTTCTTCTCCTTCTTCTAAAAGGCCTTTTCTCCTCCTTCTCTTTCTCCTCCTTCTATAAGGACTTTTCTTCTCCTTCTCTTCGTCTTCCCTTCTTCTATAAGACCTTTTCTTCTTCTCCTTTGAGGCCTTTTCTCCGTCTCCTTCTTCTCTTTC